CTACTGGTGAATGAATGTTTCTTTAACTCCTTGGTTGTCAGACTTCTATACAGTTGGATTTTCTGGCAGTTCTGGGTTTTTTTAATTTGTTTTTTAATTTGTTGTTGTCCCTCTTTCAGTTGTGTGAGGAGGCGCATAAAACCTGCTTAAGTTGCCTCTCCCACTAAATACTCATGGCCAGTAGGCTGTGCACTAGTGCAGTAGTCTCAAAAGTGGAGGGTGTTCAGAAAGATCTCTAAGGTACCAGAAAAAATAGTGAAACTCTCTTGTCTCATCCTTTAAATTTTCCTGTTTTTATATTTTGTAATGACTTGGCACATCTCATACATAATACACACACTTCTCAGTTAAACAGCCAATAGATATGAGATGCATGGTCAAAAATTTTTAATTATAAGGTGTACAGTTCACAGAGTTTGCAGCCCACTTCCGAGGCCTACCTGCTCCCCTTTTGCAGTTGACTTGCATGTTCTAAGAGTCAATATTATTTCTTCCCAACCTGTATATTTTAGGAATACTTGTAATTATTTGATATAATTTTATTGAATTTTATATAAACCACTGAAATGTTGTTTTTTGAAAAGAATAGCCTAAGTTGGGCAGACTTGTTTGAAGTCCAAACTGGACCCTTTTTTTAATTGGTGTCATCTTAAGGTGGGTAAGACACCTATAAACAATTGTGAGAAATAATCATAAAAATACAGGATTCTGGTTTAGCTTGGCTTGCAAAAATGTAGTTCCGTATTCTCCCTTAAGGAATCTAAGCTGGAAATCAAAGGTGTTATGAGTACGATTCATGCAGCAACAGCAACATGGAAGTTCACTCAATGGAAGTAGACTCACACGTACAATGGGTGAATGAGTGTACAATCAGTTATTATTCAGTGTAGTTATTTTCTGTAAAGGCAGTGTGAACACAGAATTCAGAAATATTGAACCATTGATCCTAAAGGAAACAGGGTCACAACACTCATTTTATGTGTGTTTCTGTTTAAAGACACCTTATTTAATAACTACTATTGACTCATTAACATTGACTCAGAACTGACCACACTATAACTCATGCCTGAATGAAGCTTATCTAAAACAGGTGCTTTCTCCATAAGGTACATCACAGCCATCTTGCACAGAGGAACTAGACAACACTTTAGCTCTATGCTTGGAGGCCATTTTAAACAGCAGAATCACCAACAAAAAGCACTATAAATAGACTGTGGCACTAAATAGACTGCGAGAAAGACACTTGTTTACAGTGTGAGAGCTGAAACAAGAAGACAGAGTGTCTCCTCATTTGAACTCAGCTGGGAAAGTGTGCCTAGGACAACTCAAATTTTTCACAGCACATGCACATCCATGAATGACCAAGAAAGTGCTGCAAGTACTAATTTGGGGTTTACAAGTAAATTTTAATGAACAGGCAAATTCACAAATACAGAATCCAAAAATAATGAGGATCAACTAAATGTATTTTGTCATCTGATGGTTGTTGGCGCCAATTCAGACACCAACAGGAATCCCCAATTTGGGGTGCGGCGAAGAAGGAAACTTTATTTAGTTCAAACAGCTCAACAGTAATACAGCTTGGCTGTGAAAACAGCAGTTATGCAACATCTTGCTGTGAGGCTGCTTGGGATCCAGATGTCCCCAAGACCAGGCCCTGCTTCAGCTAGGCAGCTGGCGATGGTCTGCCCCGCTCTGTGTAGGTCCGTTCTGCTACAGTGAGGAATCCGTGTTTTAGCTCAAGGCAGGGAAAGGCAGTCTTTGTGGAAGGTATGGCTCCCACAGCCAGAGGGGAGCTGGCTTGTATAGACTGGAGACCCCACCATTGGTCCCTGATTTTTCAAAATGCAGCTGCTCCGATTGGTCAGGCCTATGCAGCTCTGATTGGCTAGGGAAAGCCTTGGTCCTATTGGTTGAAATAGGATTCCAGGAAACCCTAATAAGGGCTGGTTCTGGCTGCAGCAACACAGTGCAGGCAGGCAGTTCTGTGCAGAGACTGGTAGCTTAGGGAGGAGGCTTCTCTTCTATGTGCAATTTGTGTGAAAAGCCCCTGTGCATAAATGGCTGCTAGGCTCTGCTTACACTTATTTATTTATTTATTTATTTATTTATTTATTTATTTATTTATTTATTTTATTGGCCCAGTTAGAAACCAGGAGTCCTTCTTAGTCCTCAGTGTTCACAGTTTATTTAACTGTGTAGGTTAAGTAAGGTACTTAAGGTGTGCATGAATTATTTTCTGTGAGCCCATCCCCATCTTTACCTGACTTTGGTTAATGAGCTCCTCTCTGCAAGGCAAAGTAAGCCCTACAATTTTCACAGGGGAAAGATGAGCTTCGGAACAGGCCTTGACTTTCAGGCATGATCGAAGGATCACACAGTCATTGCATCTTACTGATGCTGTTTGTCTCACTGGTTGTTAGGATGAAATGACTTTAGGTATTTGTTGCAGTGTCCCAGCATCCAGGATAGTGCCCGGCACTGGTAAAAATTAATTTAAAACACTACAAATGTTCTACACAAAATGTATGTAGGCAGTGCTAATTATGAATTTGAGAAGTGTGTTTTAGTGTAGAGTTCAAATGGAGGATGCGTGTAGGGCGGACTGGGTTACAGCAAGTACCAAACCAGATGGCCCATAGGCTTAACCACCCGGCCCACACTGGGTGGCTCACTCTGCCTGCCTGTAAATCCCATGCCGTGAGGACTACCTGAGCCCTGGGCTGGGTGCCTCCCTCCAGGCCCCCGGCCCCTTTGTCCAGAGCATTAGCTGAAGACATAGGCTCCTTCACTTTGTCCATGTTACAGCGAGACTCGGTGTAGGGGCTTCTCTTCTGGAGTTTTTATACATTGAGCCCCAGCACACACACCTGCAAATAGTGGTTTGGACATTGTTGAAACTTGGAAAAAAAGAGTCAAAAAGTCAACCCACTCTCATTAACCGTTATTAATGAGATTTTTTATTCATTCACACCAGATGGCTATTGTTGTTTGTTGTCAATTTTTTATTTGACAGTGTAAGGGAAAGAGGTCAGTGCCCCTGACTAAATAGTCAGGTATTGTCAGTTTTAAAAATTCTTGTGGCATACCAGTTGAAACTTGCTGATCTGAAAAATTAGCAGTAATATCATAATATCTAATGTCTGGTTAGTGTTAAATTTCCCCAATTCAGATGTTTTCTGGTCCTTTCAACATAGTACAAAGCTTTCAGCAGATGATGGCATGGGGATTAGTGGCCACATGGAGCGTGTCACTGAACTTGAGCCTGGGAGGACTAAGGGTGATAGAAGAGCCAGTGCCCTTTCCAGGGCAGTAGGACAGGACAGAGTGGCAGTGGGGCTGCGAGGGTGGCAGCTCCTGGAGTAGACAGTGTGGAACTTGACAGTGTTCTGGCCAGAAAGAGCCTCGCCCGGAGTGGCTGCGACCATTCTGCTTCCCTACGTAACTGTCCCACAGTCTGTGATTTTGCCCTTTGGTACTCTGGCAGGGGATGCTTTCTGTGGTTTGAGGTTTGCCTGGTCCCGCTGCTATGAGAACTTTCAATACCTAAAGGTATTTGGGGCTCTTTGAAGCCATCTCTTCCCCAGAGCAAATGGTGAGCTTGAGCAGAATTCCCTCAAAGGCATTTCGCATTTCGAGTGGCTTGGAGGGACCCAGTATTCTAAATTTAGTTGAATGATGACAGGAGTCTTGATGGCAAGATGCAGCCGAGTTGGCAGAGGAGATAGGAGAGGCAGGCATACAGCAGGACCACACTGGCCATGTCCTGCCTGTGTGTAATGAAGGAGGCAGAGTTGCACATACTTGGCACTTCTTTCATCACCAGATGAAAATGAGCTTAGCTGCTTCACAGGTGACTTCATTATCTCTTTATTTCCGAAGAAGAATTTCAAAGCAAAAAAAGTTGCCACTAAGGTGTATGCAGTGTTGCTTTATTCCTCTGTGCTCCACATTCTTTCTCTGTAAAGCAATAATAGGACCTGCCTTGGAGGTTTTGTGTGGGACAGATGCACATACACATGGAAGTGCTGGGATGATGCTTGGCACCTGGTGATAGCCCCATGTGGCTCAGTGATGGTACAGATTTTCAACTCGTGTGCCACAAGAATTTTTAAAACATACAGCACTTGACTGTTTAGTCAGGGACCTTGACCTCTTTCTCCTTACATTGTCAAATAAAAAAATGACAACAGCCAACATAACAATAGCCATGTGGTATGGATGATTCAAAATTATACCTACCGTATTTTTCAAACTATAAGACATACTCCCCCCATATTTGGGAGGAAAGGGGGGTTGCGTCTTATAGTCCAAGTGTAGCTTGCCTGACTCGCTGTGGCAGGGTGGGGCGTTCTATGCTATTTGCGTTATTAAGTATTTTACCACATTTTTTTTCTATTTTCTTTCTCTAAAACCTAGGTGCATTTTATGGTCTGGTGCATCTTACAGTCCAAAAATTTAGTATATTTTTGTCAGATCAGCAAAAAAATATTTTTTAGTGTGCTGCAGAATTTTAGTAGTTTGTGCGTGCCATGAAAACATATCCTGGATATTCATCCTGATCACATGCCAGGGATGTTGCTGTGATTGCTCAAAATATGTAATTCTGTGCCTTTTGACTTTCAAACATGTTTTATGATCAGGAGCCGCTGAGCAGAGAGAGGGAGAAAGACCTATGAAATGATCCCTCTGTGGGACATAATTCGGGTAAGAGTGAGTAGGCCCGCCACAGTGTATACACCCATGCTGTCTGCAAAGCTTCGATATCCAAGTAGTTAGGGTATAATTTTTTTTAAAGGAAGAGGGTTTCGTTGCTAACCATGAGCAGACTGGCTTCTCGATGTCATATTATTTCTAATATTTTCATTTATTATAATGATATGTTATTTTGTTTTTATCAACTAAAAAATGAAGCAACCAAAAAACGCAATAGGACTAATGGACAGATGGAGATTCTGGCTTGGCTGCCTCCTTATATCCTGTCCTTTTCTTCCTCCCAGATGTGACATCTGCTGCGTCACCTTTCGGACACATCGGGGATTGCTGCGCCACAATGCACTTGTCCACAAACAGCTTCCCAGAGATGCGATGGGAAGGCCTTTCATCCAGAACAACCCTTCCATTCCTGCTGGCTTCCACGACTTGGGATTCACTGACTTCTCCTGCAGGAAATTTCCTCGGATTTCTCAGGTATGCTCATTGGCCAGCAGAACCAGCAGCCTCCTCCTCCATGGTCCCCGTAGTTGGACTTCACTTCCTCACCCTGAGGTTCCCTTTTCTTAAAAAATGAGGTCCATTGGGTTTTTCTTCTAACACCACCTTTTCTCTTGAAATTCGGTTTGACCCTTCTAGTCTTCTTTGAGTTGCTGTATTGAGAAGCATAGGTGGCCTTTCATTTTTTGAATTTCAGATTCATTTGTATCTGAGTCTAGCCCATCCGTGCTTTTGCCTGTTCTTCAGGCACTTGGATTTAAAATTATGAATTGTTCACCACCCCAATCAGAACAGAATTTGTTATTTTCTTAATGTTTCTTTAATTATATTTCAAGCTAAATATTTTTCAGCATTACAGTTTTTGTAAAAAATGTTTTGGGTCTTTAATTAACCTGAGTTATATATATATTCTATGCTTATAAAGCACCTGCTAAAAGAACTTTGAATCTACTTTTTTTTCCAAATTTTTAAAAATTGAGTCCTGGCTAGCGTGGGTCGGTGGATTGAGTACAGACCTGTGAACCAAAAGGCCACAGGTTCGATCACTCTCAGGGCGTAAGCCTAGGTTGCAAGCCAGGTCCCCATCTGGGGGCGTGGGAGAGGCAACCTGTCACATCGATGTTTCTTTCTCTCCCTTTCTTTCTGCCTTCCCCTCTCTCTAAAAATACAAGTAAATAAAGTCTTTTTAAAAATTGAGATAGAAGATAAGTGAATGAAATTCTCACCATCCGTAAGCCTCAAGTTCAGTTCCAGATGTAGGCACGCGTCTGTGTGCGCCCACATAACCCAGGTGGCACTCCCCCCTCTCCTGACAGCACAGAGACAGCTGCTTCTCCACTGACGCTAGGTAGTCCCCACGGTTGCAGGGCACCTGTTTTTAAAAGGAAAATCCTGCCGTTATGGTATTATTACTTCACTATACCTCATTGTTTGTCTGCAGAGATATCCTGGAAGTTGATGTCATTCAAGGAAACATGATTCTTAAGGTGTTTGTGGGGTTTTTTTTTTCCTTAATTCAATCCAGGAGTTAGTGATCAGGGAAAGGTAGCTCCATGTACATTGAGGAGAAAGCTGGATCCTGGGGCAGCCATGCAACAGATACTTTCTGCATCTCAGTTTGGTGAAGATTTTTAAATCCTCCTCTCTGTTTTCTTGCTTTTGCAGGCCTGGTGTGAGACCAACCTGCGCAGGAGCATCAGCGAGCAGCACCGTTTTGTCTGTGACGTCTGTGACAAGGCATTCCCCATGCTGTCCTCGCTCACCCTGCACAAGCAGTCCCACATCACTGGGGACCAGGGACGGGAAAGGCTGCAAGCCAAGATCGTATCTGGTGACACCCTGGACCAGAAGGTTTTCCTGGCCTTGCTGGGCCTGCAGCACACCAAAGATGTCAGGCCTATCCTGGCCGAGGAGCCCCTGCCAGATGACAACCAAGCAATACAGCTCCAGACACTCAAGTGTCAGCTACCTCAGGACCCTGGCTGCACCAACATGCTGAGGCTGTCTCCTTTTGAAGCCTCTTCCCTGGGCGGTTCTCTCACGGTCCTCCCAGCTACCAAGGAGAACATGAAGCACCTGTCTCTGCAGCCCTTCCAAAAAGGCTTCATCATCCAGCCTGACAGTAGTATTGTGGTCAAGCCCATCTCCGGGGAGTCGGCCATTGAGCTGGCTGACATCCAGCAGATCCTGAAGATGGCAGCCTCAGCACCCCCTCAGATCAGTCTTCCACCTCTATCCAAGGCCCCTGTCACCCCTTTGCAGGCGATTTTCAAACACATGCCCCCTCTGAAGCCAAAGCCCTTGGTCACACCACGGACAGTGGTAGCCACCTCAACACCACCCCCTCTCATCAATGCTCAGCAGGCCTCCCCCGGCTGTATCAGTCCCAGCCTGCCCCCGCCACCCCTGAAGCTCCTCAAAGGCTCAGTGGAGGTGGCCTCCAATGCCCACCTGCTGCAGGCCAACTCTGGGGCCCAGCCACACACGGCCATGCAGCTATTCCTGCAGCAGCCAGGCATGGAGCTACCGGCCCAGGCGGAGATGAAGACACAGTTGGAGCAGGACAGCATCATTGAGGCCCTGCTGCCACTGAGCATGGACACCAAGATCAAGCAGGAGATCACAGAGGGAGACCTCAAGGCCATCATGACGGGTCCCGGCAGCAAGAAATCTCCAGCCATGCGCAAGGTGCTCTACCCGTGCCGATTCTGCAACCAGGTGTTTGCCTTCTCGGGGGTGCTGCGTGCGCACGTGCGCTCCCACCTGGGCATCTCTCCCTACCAGTGTAACATCTGTGACTACATTGCAGCCGACAAGGCTGCGCTCATCCGCCACCTGCGCACACACAGCGGTGAGCGGCCCTATATCTGCAAGATCTGCCACTACCCCTTCACTGTCAAGGCCAACTGTGAGCGGCACCTGCGCAAGAAGCACCTCAAGGCCACCCGCAAGGACATTGAGAAGAACATCGAGTATGTGACCAGCAGCGCGGCTGAGATGGTAGATGCCTTCTGTTCCCCAGACACAGTGTGCCGGCTGTGCGGAGAGGACCTGAAGCACTACCGCGCCCTGCGCATCCACATGCGCTCGCACTGTGGCCCCGGCCTGGGCAGCTACCCCAAAAGCCACAAGCCTTTCGAGTGCAAGGAGTGCAGCGCCGCCTTCTCAGCCAAGCGCAACTGCATCCACCACATCCTTAAGCAGCACCTGCACGTGCCAGAGCATGACATTGAGAGCTACGTCCTGGCAGCGGATGGCCTGAGCCCCAAGGAGACCCCCTCTGCCGAAGCCTCGGGGAGGATGGAGGAGGGCAGCGGGGCTTTTGGTGAGCACAGATCCCTTGCCACCTTCCTGGAGTCCCAGAACGGCTATCTTCATGGGAACCCCACCCAGCCACCACCCCCCCATGTCACCATCAAGTTGGAGCCCACCAGCAACTTCTCAGTAGACTTCAATGAGCCCCTGGACTTCTCCCAGAAGGGCCTGGCCCTGGTCCAAGTGAAGCAGGAAAACACAGCCTTGTTCCTGAGCCCTTCTTCCTCAGCCCCGTATGACTGCTCCATGGAGCCCATTGACCTGTCTGTCCCCAAGAACTTCAGAAGAGGAGACAAGGATTCTGCTGCTCCTGGTGAAGCCAAGAAGCCTGAGCAAGAACCAGGGAGCAGGGAGCAATCCTCTCCCTGTCCACCCCTGTGCCCTACTCTGCCAGTGACCTTGGGCCCCAGCGGGATCTTGGAAAAACCTTTGGCCCTTTCAGCAGCAGCCTCGGCAGCCACTGCTCCAGAAAGCCATGCTCAGCCGCTGCAGGGCTCCGTTCAGGTCGCTGTCCCCATTTACCCATCAGCCGTCATCAACAGCTCCCCTCTCTTGGGCAATTCCGCCCTCATAAGCAGCCCGGCCTTGTTGCGGCCCCTACGTCCCAAGCCCCCCTTGCTCTTGCCAAAGCCACCGGTGACAGAAGAGCTTCCCCCACTGGCCTCCATCGCCCAGATCATCTCATCTGTGTCCTCAGCCCCCACCTTGCTGAAAACCAAGGTGGCTGACCCAGGGCCCACAAGCACTGGCAGTAACACCACAGCTTCGGACAGCTTAGGAGACACCGTCGCCAAAGCGGCCAGTGCCCCCACCAACACCACCAGCCCAAAAGAACCCAGCGACCCACCCACTGCTGCCAGCAGTCCAGAGGAGGCTTCGCCCACGGAGCAGGGGCCAGTCGGCTTGTCAAAGAGGAGGGGCCGGAAAAGGGGGCTGAGGAGCCGACCACGCACCAGTAGTGGTGGGGTGGACCTGGACTCCAGCGGGGAATTTGCCAGCATTGAGAAGATGCTGGCCACCACAGACACCAACAAGTTCAGTCCATTCCTGCAGACAGCGGAGGATGATGCTCAGGACGAGGCGGCCAGCGCTGCCACTGACCACAATGGGCCCAGTGATGAAGAACAGGGCGGCCCCCCGGAAGACAAGCTGCTGAGGGCAAAGCGGAACTCCTACGCCAACTGCCTGCAGAAGATCAACTGTCCCCACTGCCCCCGCGTCTTCCCTTGGGCCAGCTCCCTCCAGAGGCACATGCTGACACACACTGGTAAGAGCCCACCAGCCTGTGGGTGCGACTTCCCGGCAGGGAGACTGGCCCGGGTGAGAGGGAGAGTGAGGAGTGGTTTGAAAGTGTGAGACCCTTTTCTCGTGGCGCTGTTCCCAGTTTCTCTTCCTCCTCAGTCTCAGAAGCAGGGGGGTTGCCTGCGGAGGCCATGTGCTCACGTAACCAGAATGACGGGTTCCTATTGTGTGAGCCCTCTGAGGGCTGCTGGTGAGGGGAGGTGTAAAAAGTAAGGTTCTTAGGTGACAGATGGTCCCAGACCCATCAGTCACTCACTGCCGTGCATCCCATCCCTGCAGTGAGGTCATCCACGTGGTTACCCGTGGGAGGCAGCTGGGGAGAAACGGGACTTTGTGTTAAGACCACGCAACTCTCCATTGTAATGTACTGCATAATTATACAGGGTTTGTGTCATTGAACAAAGGGTAAGTTGGGCAGGATCCTCCACCTTTAACTATTTGGATAACCCAGATATTTACCAGATAGTACCTAAAACCAAATAAAATGGTATGTGGTACAGAATTGCCGGATAAACTACAGGAAGCCAATTAAATTCTAATTTCATATAAGTAAATGACAAATAATTTTAATATAAATATTTTTTCATCCGGTATCTGGGATATACTAAAAACTTATGTGGTGTTCACCTGAAATTCAGATGTAACTGGGTGACTTGTATTTCTAGTTGCGAGGTCTGCAACCCTAGGCGGTGAGGAGGCTTGTGGTGGTGTGAGGGGACAGTGGTGGGAGCAGGGTGTAGGCCATGCTCGTCACCCAGGTAGAAACACTTCATTCGGGTTGGTCATCACTTGAAGCTTCGGAGAAGCCCACACAGGGTGGCCGTTCCCGTGAATTGCAGGGGCAGAGAGGATGCAGAGGGGGGGTGGGAGGGGAGCGCAAGCTGTGGGGTCTTTCTAAGGCTGGTGGTCACGCAGATGTGGCATTTCTCTCCGGGCGGTGGTATCCGGTGACGGCATGTCAGGCCAGCATGTCCCCAGAAGACTTGTTTAACAGGAACCAGAACTCCTAGGCTTGTGAAGTGTGTGCTGCATTTTCAGGCTGTCAGTTATCTCCATCGGAAACCACTGAGGCCTAACAGAGAAGTAATAGTTCTGATGAAGGGAGCAGTTGGGAAGAGGATATGCATCTTAAAGAGAAGTTGCCCCACACGGTCTGTCTTGCTACCCTTTTCGGGTGACACTTTTGGTCACCTGCAGAGTCTGGAGAAGGGAGTATTTCTGCTCCCACTTTTTAGAAGGCAGGTGGTCTGGACCTGACAGTGAGCGTGGCTCATGCTCCGCCTCCCTCTTCCCCTCACGGTCAGCCTCCCCACCTCCTCCCTCCAGCTGGGAGTCCTGCGCTCAGTAGGTGGATCCCATGCCCATTGCCCTCAGATGAGCCTTTTATTCCTGGACGTTCTCCTCCTAGCAAACGGTCGGTCTCCCCAGGAGGACTGCTGAGGCCAGGAACTCCTTTCAAGAGTCATGCCCATGTCTTTGAAGATGTCTGATACAAGTTCCCATTTGTGAATCCAGTCATTTTGATTGCATGGCTTTTGAATGCCAAAAATTGTCTAGTTGGTTTAAAATCTGGCAGCATCTGAAACCAAGCAAGGAAGATGGGAGGGTTGTTGGAGACAGGGTAGGGAGGGCGGGTACATAGAAACATGTTCTGCCACTTCTCCGTGCTGTGCCTACACCTGTCGTGGCTGTCTGTTTAGGCCCATCCCTGACATCCTGTCACACTGTGTTCTTGCAGTGAGGCTGTAGGCCTTGACCCTTGTGAGGAGCACTCAGGGTTGGTAGAGAAGGTTTTCAGAGCTAGTCTTCCTCATTCTCCCATGAGGGCGATGATGTCCACATTTTGCCATGAGGAAGTGGAGGTTTAGAAAGGCCAACTTGCTTATGGTCATATGAGCAATGAACAATTAGCAGAGCTAGAGTTCAAAGCCAAGGTCAAGATCCCTGCAAGTTCCCCACAGTCAGGGTAGTGTGGCTGCTGGTCCTCTCTCTGAACAAGTACAGTCCATGTCTCCGCCCTCCTCATGCCTGCACATGCCCGGTGAGGAACTCTGAACAGGTCTGAGAAGGGAGAGGTTGGAAGACAGATGTGGACCAGAATGCTGTTAGCAGAGACTAATGACCACGGAAGGGTGTGAGCCACACACAGACACAAAGGTCAGCACCCATCAGGCTGTCAACTTCCTTTGCTGTGTCACTGCTTTAGCTCTCAGCTACGATCTGCCCATCACCTCTGCTAAATCCCTTTACAGAGAGCACTTGGCTGTGCCTGGTGCTGTGTTAGAACGCTGCCCATTCATCAGGTGCTGGCACTGGACAGAGCCGGGGAAGCCACCAGTCCACCCCCTCTCCCTGAGACTGCCGTCTTTCTGGTAGGCGACTCTGCTCTTGAGGAATCTCTGAGCTGCCTGTCTCCGGCTCCCCAGCTTTCTGTGACCTTCTCCCTCCAGAAACTTTCAAATAAGCCAAAGGCTCACACGAAAGGGAAATTTAACATGGACTCCGAGATGATCTCGCAAACAAGTGTTACACAGGGAAGAGGTTTGTTTTTGTTGTCGTGTTTTCATTGTAGCCTTAAAATCTAGCTGCACTGCAGCCAGAAGCTTTGGGCAACCTCCAGTTTTAGATCGCACATGGGCGAACTATGTCTGTATCTTGCCAGTCAGCTTTCTCCTGACCACTCAGCAAATGCAGAGTTATCATTGTGTCTGTCTGTTGTCTCATAGATATGTTTCCAGCCTACCCCACCACCCAGATGGGCAGCATTGGGTAAAGCAGGTGTTAAGTGTCCAACTAGGGGTTTAATGTTTCTGTGGGCAAGGGGCACCTGGTCTCGGCCCTCTCTCTGTGTGGCTCAGGTTCTAGGAATTGTGTCTTACAAGGAAGCTGGCACTGGCTGTCAGATTGCACATCCCCTTGGCGTGTTCTCCACTTGCAGCTGAATTCCCAGCCTCCGCTCCTCACCCAACCCACAGTGTCCTGTCGCTCAGGGACATTTCCTGGTTCCTTACCTTTATCTGCCTGGCCAGCATTGGGGGAGGGCAGTTCGTTGTTCCTTCCTTTTCCCCTTTGTGAGTATTTTGTGTGTTTTTAGGCTACAGGTGGAGGACTTGAGTGCCAGAAGCACACCAGTCCATTGCCGCCCTGTCCTCACCTTCTTTGTCCTCTACTGCCTTTTCCCCCACAGCACGAAGGGGCCAGGACCACGTGCCTGCCAGCTCCCACGTTCTGGGATCCTGGCTTACTCACTTTCTCACCATTGGTTTTAACACTTTTTCATTACCAGCCTGGGTCCCTGCCCACTTATCTCTCCTACCTACCGCTCATGGGCCACAGACATCACAGTTAAAATCAGTAAGATGTGCAAACCTCAATGTGTGAGTCGCTCCTGACACCAAGTGTATCTGGCTGCTTGTAACTTTCCTAAGTGGCAGCTTTGGCCCTTTCACCGAGCCAGCCCTACCCGACGTGCACCTCGGCAAACACAGAAAGAGCCCTTCCCCACATGGGCGGAGGGATGGCGGAGGGAAGTGTGAGGTGTGGAGCCACATCATGAACCTCATTCTCAGTGTCCATTCTTCTGCTCTCCGTTGCCCCGGTGCCTGCCAGATCGCCCTGTTTAGTACACAATGTCTCTTTTCCTTGTCTGGCTGTTTTGTGAGAGTGAGAACTGGCTGGCGATGGCTTTTACCAATGTGGGTGGAGGGCTGTCTCAGGTCCTGGCACAAACGTAACTCCTTGTGGTTACAGGCACATTTTAAAACATCCTTGCTAAAGCATTAATTTGTGGCAGTGCCAAGTAAATAAAATCATTTGATACTTTCCATGTAGATTACCAGTCAACAAGTTTGAAACCTGTGCAGTTACAAAACACTGAAAGAGCTCATATTTTCCTCTGTCCATGCAGTCAAAAAGCACACTGCCATTTAAAGTGTAAGATTTATGCAATGAGATGTGAATTTTTAAAGACTCCTGTTAGTGTCCCTTTGAGGATCTTCATAATTTGATGCAGTACTTTGGTGTCACTGAATTCTTGTCTGAATTTAGCATTAATATGAATCTTTATCATGGGAATCTTTATCCTGGCTGTCCAACCCAGTTATAAAAGTGAGACATTTACCAAATTAAATATTATAGAGTAAATCGTGTAATAGGTAGAAGCAAGAAACCGACTGTTCTGTCTGGAGTGAAGAGCCGTATCACACACAGTTCATAGTCACAGCCTCGGACGTGTCCTGCTCTTGGCCTAGAGCTCTCCCTGTTCTCCAGCCTCATTCAGAGACGCTGTGACGTTGCCTTTTCACAGTAAAATGCTAGCGCAAAAGCATTTTTTCTTACTTAAAACAGTCCAAATAATTAAATATTATTTTCAATTTAAAATGCTTTTAAAGCTAGTCTTTATGCAAAAGCGTGATTTTTTGTTTGTTTGTTTTATAATATTAGCAGAAACCGCCGACTGAGCTCTGCAGAGGTGAACTGGTTCCACCCCTGTCCCCACCCCTGGGTTTCTGATTCCCTGGTCTTGGACTGTTCCAGGCATCTGGTTCTTTTCCCCCCTTATTTACTTACTTACTTACTTACTTTTTATTGGATTTATTGGGATGACATTGGTTAATAAAATTATATAGATTTCAGAGATGTAATTCTGTAATACTTCATCTGTACAGGCATCCATATTTTTGAAAAGTTCCACGGGTGATTTGGAACCGTTGCCTGCAAGAGCCTGTCAGTTCAGACGGGGGGAACAGCCCCTTTCTTTGATTAGCACTGACGCTTGGACTTAGCCGGGCAGGGGTTCCGTGGTGCTGGGTCCCACAGCAGCCCTCTCGGCATGACTGGCACCTCAGGAGTTACGCGGCAGGGAGGTGATGACCCTGGTGCCTCCTTCCCCTCGGAGAAGCCCGGGAGCCGCCGTGTCCGTTGCAGTGAGTGCCCGGGCTCGTGCACCTGCACTGGTTCAGGCCTCGTTCATGGTGTCTGAGTGGTGCAGGGTTGCTGCCCTGGCTGGTGTGGCTCAGTGGATTGAGTGCCAGCCTGTAAACGGAAAGGTTGCTGGTTCAATTCCCAGTCAGGGCACATACCTGGGTTGCAGGCCAGGTCCCCATTTGAGGGTGTGCCAGAGGCAACCACACATTGATTAGATATTATCTTTCTCCTTTCCTTTTCCTTTCTTTAAAAATAAATAAAGAAAATCTTGAAAACTAAATAAACAGTGCAGGTTGACCTTCCTGACAGTTCTTCATTTTTCCCAATTGTCATAATCAAATTCCATCAGCTGACCCAAAAGTGTCCTTTTGAGCTACTTTTTTCTAGTCTGTAATCCAGTTTGGATTCATGCATGGCATTTAGCATCATGCTTTTTAAAAATTATTTTATGATTATTTTTCATTCCCAACTCCCCTTCCCTTTAGCAACCATCAGCTTGTTCTCTGTGGGTCTGTTTCTGTCTTGTTTATTCATTTGCTTTGTTTAGATTCCACATCTAAGTGAAATCATACAATATGTGTCTTTGTCTGACTTATATCACTTAGCTGAATAATATTCTGCTGTGTGTGTGTGTACTCATGTATATTCTCCTGTGCAGATACCCGCTTCCCTCCTCCGGCCCCTCCAGAGCCACAAACAGCAGCCCAGGGCATCTCCTGCCACCTTTCTCCCCCATCCAGCTTCTGTATTTCCTCATGCTCCTTGCGAGTACCACTTCATGTGAGGGCAGACATCTAGGTGACTTGTTACTTTGGCTGTTTCTCGTGATGCTTCAGTGAACATAAGGTGGATGTCTTTTCCAACTACTGTTTTTGTTTTCTGTGGATAAACATCCAGAAATGGAATTGCTAGATCATATGGCGGCTTTTTTTTTTCTGTCATTTCTTTTTTTTTATTATTATTAATTTTATTTAGTTATTTTTCAAGTACAGTTTTTTGTCTATGTGTCTGATTGTGGCGTTCCCAAGGTTACAAAACAGGCAGATTGGGCTGCCACTCTGAATCTGTGTTTGCTAGTACACAAACCTTTTATCTCGTAAAATAAAAACCTGGGATCTTAGAATCTGGAGATGGGGGGGAACAGAAGAACCCAGTGATACAGTAAGTGACTTACCCCCCTTTCTCTCTCTCGAGGCCCACCCAGTCGCTTCCTTCCCCTGCCCCTCTCCCTGTCCACACTTTGTGCTCTGGTTCTTGCTGTTCACTTCACACCCATCATGCAAACCAGGCACAGGTTGCAGAGGAGCCCGGCTTGCACTCTGAAACATGTTTACCGCACAAAAGGAATCCCCAAAAAAGGAGAGGCAAGGCAAACCAAAGCAGGTCATTCCTGGAGAGACGGAAGGGCACGCCCCTCTCTCAGCAGGTGGCCCCATAGTGGAGTTGGGTGGGACAGGGGGCTCTTCAGTGACTTCTCTCCGATCCGTTGAGTGGAACATACGATAGCCTAACGCAGACTCAGGATTTGTTGGTCACTTATTTACTACTAGCCAGAGCCTAAAGCAGCAGAACAAAGAACCTTTTATGCAGTGACCAGACCTCCTCTGGCTTGCTGACTGAGGGACACAGTGACCTTGAGCAGAGGTCACTGCAGGGCGTCTAGTCAAGTCAGACAGGAGGAGTCCTGGAAGGCAGAACTCACCGCCCCCCTCTGTGGGGGTGGGGGGGCCCCCTGCAGGGGCTCCAGGTTCCTGCAGGAGGGCTGGGCGTCCAGTGGAATTTCCAGCCTGTGTGGTAGTACTTGCAATGCTAGAAATGATTCAAAACTCTTCTCCCGGGGACAAACTATACATGTTTTCTTGCTGTGCTCTAAAATCCCTTCACTCACTTGTAATTATTTAAGAGTTTAATTGTAATACTGTTGTTTAAACATTTGTATCTTGGTTTTATTGTTCAGTTTTAGTATTTTGAAGTCAAAAAACATTCATTCCATCCCACTCAGACTAAGAGAAGATGATCGTTTGGCTTGTTTGTTTGTGTTCAGGGTTGTTTTTTTTTAATGTGTTTTGTTTATTTTCTTAAAAGAATGGGGTGGAGGAGGGAGAAGCAAATGCCAATGATCCCAGGAAAATGAATCGAAAGCAACTTTTTTACTGCAGTGGAAAGCCAGATAAATATCTATTTTTCTTCCTGCTTCAGGTCAGAAACCCTTCCCTTGTCAAAAATGCGATGCCTTCTTTTCCACCAAATCTAACTGTGAACGCCACCAGTTGCGCAAACACGGAGTTACCGACTGCTCCCTGAGAAGAAATGGGCTTGTTCCCCAGTGCAAAGGGAGTGCTGTTGGACCCCATGACAGCACAGGTAGTGCTTCCTCCCCCAGTGCAAAGGGAGAGCTGTTGGACCCCATGACAGCACAGGTAGTGCTTCCTCCCCCAGTGCAAAGGGAGAGCTGTTGGACCCCGTGACAGCACAGGTAGTGCTTCCTCCCCCAGTGCAAAGGGAGTGCTGTTGGACCCCATGACAGCACAGGCAGTGCTTCCTCCCCCAGTGCAAAGGGAGTGCTGTTGGACCCCATGACAGCACAGGTAGTGCTTCCTCCCCCAGTGCAAAGGGAGAGCTGTTGGACCCCATGACAGCACAGGTAGTGCTTCCTCCCCCAGTGCAAAGGGAGAGCTGTTGGACCCCATGACAGCACAGGTAGTGCTTCCTCCCCCAGTGCAAAGGGAGTGCTGTTGGACCCCATGACAGCACAGGTAGTGCCTCCAGGTGGTGGGAAGGACAGGGACACAGGAGAACTGGCCGCTTGGCCAGGTGAACCTTGCTGAGCTTCCCAGCAAGCCCCAGCCCTCCGAAGCATGGCGGGCTGCCTTTGCCACTTCCCTGTAGGACTGCACAGTCCAGGAAGGTGGGCCCTGGCTAGGGCTGGGAGCATGCAGCCGGGTGGGGGTGGGGGACACCATGGCAGTGCCCCTAGATTATTACTTTTCTGACTGCTAGGGAAGACCTGCCACCCTCCCAGCAGACCTCTTTGCTCAGGCCGTGGGCCCCACTGGCGGTGGGACATGAGGGAGGGTGTACAGGTTTAGCTCCTGGTAGCAACACAGCAACGACCTTAAAGGCTTGGGGTGTTTTCCTCAAGCCCAGCCTCTGCTGGACCCTGCTGAGCAGGGACCGGCTCACAGATGTCAGGGTGTTGCAGGGACTAGGGGTGCCCAGCCCTTGTGAGGGACGGCGGGGTGTGGTGTTTCCTTTTCAATAACTCTCTTCCCAGTGAAACAAAACTTTGTCTTGTTTGAAAAAGCACTCTGCATGTCCTTTCCTTAATCACATCTCTGCTTGACCTGAATCCGGGTATTATTCTCCTGTGCTGATATGCGCTTCCTTCCTCCAGCCCCCTACAGAGCAATTAACAGCTGCCCAGTGAGTCTCCTGCCACCTTTTCCCCCTTACAGCTTCTGTATTTACTCATGTTCTCTATTCAGTACATTGGTTATTGCAGCTGCTGGGGTTCGGCACTCTCACCCCGAGACAATACACAAACGGGCTCCTGCAGGTCACTTAGACACACAGGTTCCTGGCTGTTGGTTAATCACAGTCTCACTGGTATGGATTCAGTTCTGCAAATCCTGAAAGCTTGATGTTCCATTGCTTGGAGCTGATGAGATCCCCCCAGATGTATTTTTGGGGGGTTGTAATTCTGTCCCGTGCTTTTCTCCAGAGTTGGGCGGAGATGGGGTGCTCTGCTGTCTGGGAGTCGTCCCCCAAGGCAGTGTGGACGTGACTCTCAGGCCCCCTTATCCTTTATCTCAGTTACTTACTCAGGGAGGGGGACATCTGGATGGGTAGCGTGTCCAGGAAGAGGATGTGATCTGGAACCCTCTGCTTTTTGAACTTCATACCTCCCACTGAGCCCTAGTGAAACAAGCCCTTGAACTGCCAGGCCCTTTAGTTAAAATCAAACCCTCTAAGGGTGTAAGAATGTAGGCCAGTTTGCTGGCTCCACCCCTAGCTCGCATTCCCATGTAATTTGCCAGGATCTTTGAGGAAAGAAAGATGTGGACGCCTACGGAATCTCGCTGTGACTTGGATCCCCTTGAGCTAGAGGTGGTGGGTGATCTGCTGTTCAGCCCCAGGAAACTCAGAGCGATGCTGGCAGAACCACTGCTCTTAATGTTTAACAGCGGGTGCTGCGTGACCTGGCCGCAGCCCGGCTCAGAAAGTGGCTATGTGATTCTTTTCTACCCGCAGTGATTCCAAAGGAGGGTGAGCCGCAGAGAGTCGAGGTGGTCGAGGGGTACCCTTGGCTTCCAGATTCCACAGACAGGTCTTAAAGAGTAGTAACCGTGTGTTGGATGCACACATGGAATTCACCTTCTCGATCACACTGAGCAACACCAAGCCTGGGACTCCCGCTGCCGCCTAAGGGGGAGACTGCCATAGAAGCCCGCAGACACCAAGCTAATTGGAATTTGTATCTTAGCTTTGGTTTAGTACCAAGTTTTATATTGTGGTGTGCTTAGTTTTTGAATTGCAGTTAAGAGTTCGTTTTTCCAAGTCCCGTCAGAGTCCTTCCTCACCTCCACCCTGTAGGTTTTCTTTAAAGGAAAAAGCCTCTGGAAAAAGAGAATTCACTGAAAGTTGTAATGTGAGACCGGCAAAGAGAAAATATACGTTTGGTTTCATTGTGGCCACAATCCATGCTAAGAAAGGGGACTGAGATTTAAGAAGGGGAGGAAAGGGGTTTGGGAGGTGGAGTTCAGTGATTTCAAGAAGTTTTCAAACCAGGTGAGCATGATGGAGGGGTGATGGTTTCCTTTGGGCCGTCCCTCCCATGAAGTTGAAAGTGGGGCCTTAGAGGAAGACCATAAAAAAACAAAGGCAGGAAATGACCAAGGAGGTTCTGGAGGGGATTTCTAGGTTTATACGCCTGGGTTGCATTTTCTCCAAGTCCCTAAACATGTTTTATAACGTAGGTCTGACTTTTTCCATCACGTGAGGTCTTTCACAAAAATACACCCTAGATCTTCCCCAAAGGAACGCGGGAAAGGCTGTGGTGGGAGAGCAGTTCTGCTCACAGGGGCACACTGCTCATTCAGAGCTGAACTGGGCCGCTGTGTTCATTTCTCACAGGCAGAGGCACCCGGGCTCACCTCACCCTTGGGGAATTCTTGCATGTTTTTTCCCTCAGATGATGCCTTTAGGAGCTTTCATATTTGTGGGCACCTACATGTGACTTTTCAAATTGGCATAAATGTGAAATGTTTTGAACTGTCCCATAATGGTTGGCTCCGCTTAGCAGCCCAGAAACCCCAGGTGCCTCTTGGTGGGAGAAGTACAGTCGGAGCAACCCAAGCAGCCTTGCCCCTGCCCACTCAGGTTAGGTATGTAGGTTGGTGCTTTTTCACGTCAGCTGAGTAACTTGGGACTTCTAGAAGACAGTAGACACTTTACTGTTGAGCTGACATGGAAGGTCCCCACTTTCCTGTAGGAGGAGGCAGTGCTGTCCAGATTCTGTCTGCTGCCTCAGAAATGTTCTTAGGTGTAGCACCACGAGAGGGACGGATAGGGACAAAGAAATAAGGCGTTAAATTAAGGTAGGTAGCATTGCTTGTAAAAGTCATTGGCTACCTCTGTTTGGAAGTGTGGGTTGGTGGAGGAGGGCAGGGATCAAAACAGGACCTGGAGTTATAAACTGGATATTCACGAGATGATGAGAAGAGGTGAAGCCTATTGTTCCCAAGAATCACTAATCACGGTTGCTTGGTCCTTGAAGGGCCTAGGCTGCCCTGCTAACACCCTCCCCCTAGTGGAAGTTTGGTAGAGCGCAGCCAAGCCCCTTTGTTCACCAGAAATTGGCTGGCCTTTCACTGAATTCAGGGTGAATGCTCCATTACCCACACTAAAGAAAGACCCAGGAGTTAGAATGATCTAATCTTAGTATATTTACTTGAGTTTAGTTTTGGAATTCATTATGATTTTTTTCCCACAATCATCTTAATATATTCTATAATAGAAATTTAAAATAATTCATGTTCCTTAGTAAAAAAAAAAAAAAGAAATTAATAGGAGAAGCAACCTAGAATGTACTGGAGCAAATAGGAAGTAAGCAGAGATTAAGCCTCTTATTTAGTAACTATTACAAAGCCAACAAGCAAGAAACTGAGTGTCTTGTATTTTTTTTTTACTGAAGAGTTTGTACCCAAATCCATTTACTAAATGCTCTTTATCGGAATGATTCAAGAAAATGAGCACCTGGTTTATCCTGAGCATATGGCCTAGGCCTTGGTATGTATAGCTCAGGATTCATCTTCTTTAAACTTGTGGATAATTTTTTTAAATCACTGTCAGAAATTTTATAGTCACACCATAATTATTTGTTTTCCTTCTGAAACCTCTTGAGATACTCAGACAGTGGCTGCCAAGTGGCACAGGCAGAATAAAACCGAGGAAATGATGTCAGCAGGTGCCAAGCAGACGGTGGTAGGTTCACCAAAGCCCGAGGCAGGTGTGCCCCGAGAGGGCCGACGCCAGGTCACTCGCCCGAGCCCAGGACCACCGTGCTGGCAGATGGGCGAGCACGTGAGTCAGAGTGATGGACGTGGCTGGACGTCACATCCGTCCAGGGAGGGTCCGGGCAAACCGCAAGTCCACTGGCTCACGCACTGCGTAATCAGGGCTCTCCCATGATGGGGGTGCATCTTATGTATGTGCTGTGAAACAGCAACTTTCATGAGCCTAATAAATTGGGCATCAGATCTGTAGTTAAATAGTAGGTCTTGGCAGACAGCTTCACTGCTCTAGCACGTGATTAAAAGCTCAGTAAAGCCCTGTCCCACCCAAAGGGAGGTGATAAATATCCTTCGGGTCTGTTTTGTGTCGTTGGTTTTGCTCTATAGAGTGGACAAGCAGGAACAAATCAAGTGACAGAGATGTTTCTGCTCCCTGTGTGGGGCGCTGACAGGAGCCAGGGAGGCTGGCCAGTGCGCACACGTCTCCTTTTGCTTTAGAACTCCGTGTGGAAGTTAGGCGTCAGGCAGGAGCAGGTACCATAGCATTTCGGTCCATTCCGTCATCAGACACCGTGTTTGGGGGTAGTTCTGTGTCTGTTGCATGTTTGTATAATCTCTGCATTCAGAAATAACTTACAGCTCGGCTTCCTCAGCCTCCCTCGCACTGTGACTCTCTGGAATGCACCAGCTCTCCTCTCGCCATTCCTTCTGTCTGTGCTGCCCGCAGTCGCTCACACCTCCCTGGGGCCTGAGCATCCCTGCGTGCGGCAGGGGAGGGCGCCCGGCGCCACCCGTGGGCAAAAGGGGGAGCACAGCCAGCCCTGTGACCCCAGCCTGTGTGTATGTGGGAGGACTTTCTGCCTTTTATAAATACATTAACCCCAGATTCATTTGGGCCCTGAGGGATGATATAAGGGGTGACATTTTGGGGTGGGTCCAGCTGAAAGTCACAACAGAGCCCCTGGAAGGGGCATGTGTGATGGTGTTCGGTCTCAGCCCATGCCCCTGTGTTTGCCCCCACAGACAGCCAGTCGGACGTGGAGGCGTCATCCGCAGGAGGCGAAGTGCTGGACCTCACCTCTCGGGAGAAGGACCAGCCGTGGTCCGAGGGGGCCCCTGAGCCCAGCCAGGTCAAAGAAGAGCTCCCTGTAGAGGAGCTGACTCAGGGAGTGGCTGAGCCTGTGGATGGGGAGGAGCGGGGAGCCGAGGAGAGCCCAGAGGCTGAGGGGAGGCACAGTGCAGAGGACAGGGAGGAGGACGCGGACGGCCCGGAGGAAGACACAGTCAGCAACAAGAGCCTGGATCTCAATCTTGCCAGCAAGCTGATGGGTTTCAAGCTGGCCGAGGGGGGCTCGGGTGCTGTGGGCAGCGGAGGCCCGGCCCCACAGGACCAGAAGCACACCTGCAACACCTGCGGCAAGAGCTTCAAGTTCCTCGGGACCCTGAGCCGCCACAGGAAGGCCCATGGCCGTGAGGTGCCCAGGGAAGAGAGTGCGCTCCCGCGGGAGAGCCAGAGTGAGAGTGGGGTGGCCGAGGGGTCGATGCCTGTCCCCGCTGCTGTCACCCCTGCGCTGGAGCCGGAGGAGAAGCCTGAGCCCCCGGCCGAGGGGGAGGCCATGTCGGAAGGCGGGTCAGAGAAGCGGAGTGAGGAGGCTGAGGGCACCTCTGATGGGGAGGGCACAGCTGAGAAGAAGTCCTCAGAGAAGAGTGACGATGACAAGAAGCCAAAGACAGACACCTCCAGAAGTGTGTCCAGCAAGGCAGACAAGAGGAAGAAGGTCTGCACCGTGTGCAACAAGAGGTTCTGGTCTCTGCAGGACCTGACCCGGCACATGCGGTCCCACACGGGTAAGGGCGGCCTGGCCTCGGGTGGGGGAGGGAGCTGGGGTTCTCTCCGGAGCAGGGGCCCGTTCCCCAGCCTGCTAAGTGGGGACGAGTTTGGTTCCATCTCTTCCCTCTGGCCCACCTGTCTGGAGGACGTGCTTCCCCAGAAGCAGTGACAAAGAAGCAGAACAGCGACCAGGGGCAGAGAGAAGTGGCAAAGCTCGCGCATGTGCCCCACGAGCCCTGCACACTGGGAGTCTAAGGAGCTGTTTCCTGAGCACCCGAAACAGACAGGCTCCTGCCGGGGCCGTGGGGTGGGCCCTCAGCAGCGCTCTTCCTGAGAACACCTCCGTCGGTTCCCGAGCGGCATTCTTCCTGTCCCTAGAGTGGGGGCGAGGGCTGCATCGGGCCCAGGGTGTTACCAAGTCCTGAGCCTGGAAGGACTGGGCGGTGCGGCCTGGAGAACAGGTGGCAGGGTCAGGTGCTCTCTGGGGCTCTGGAGGCTCCTGGGTTTATCTTACGATGAGCCTTCAGGTGGGAAGTTTGCCCGTGAGGGGCTTCTCCTGTCTGGGCTGTAGGCCCATTGGAGGGGGGCCAGTCTGTTTTCACTCCTCCTGGGACTCATGGGTGTGGGGCTGAGGTTGCAAACCCCGCAGCAGAGGCTGTAGTGTCGGTAGAAAGAAGGAGACCTTGATACACTCACGAAGCAAAGAGATGCAAGCATATTGCCCCCCGAGTCTGGGACGAGGGGACAAACCCTGGTCTGAGATGGGCTTTCCTCCTGCCTCCCAGCCAGCAGGGTGCACGCACATGCTGCCCACACACTGCCCCACCTCGTCGTCGGTCCCTTCTGCCCCGGGCTGGGGATTGGGAGGGCTCTGGGGCCGGCCCTCCTCCAGAGAGGTTTTCTTGGACCCCTGGCAGGTGGGGGTCTCAGCTGCTCACGGCCTGGCATTCGAGCCAAAGGGGAGCCCCAGCTGCTTGATATCAGGACACACAGTGTCTCCTGCCTCTGACGGAGGAGGTACCACTTTTGGTAGAGCCCTCGGGACCAGGGGGGCGGCCCCTGCGGGAGGGAGCCGCTGCTGTCCTTCTGCGAGGCGCTGGCTCCTGGGTGAAGCGATGGAGGGAGAAGGGAAGCCATGCCCGGTGCCTGCCATGTCTGCTTCCCCATGCTGCCAGCTCAGACGAGGGTTTCCCTGCATAGACGGAGTCCTGACCCCTACCTCCTGCTGCCCCTTGACGTTCCCGCACAGCCGCTCTTGGGCAAAGCCAAGAGGTGTTACTGGTGGCCTTACCATTAACAGCCCTAACATCTTTCCCTCGTTACTTCAGGAGAAAGGCCATACAAATGTCAGACATGTGAGCGAACCTTCACCTTGAAGCACAGCCTGGTTCGCCATCAGCGGGTCCACCAGAAAGCCAGGCACGCCAGACATCACGGGAAGGACAGTGACAAGGACGAGCGGGGTGAGGAGGACAGTGAGAGCGAGTCCACCCACAGTGGCAACAACCCTGTCTCGGAGAACGAGGCCGACTTGGCTCTGCCCGCCAGCAACCATGTGGCTGTCACCCGGAGCCGGAAGGACAGTCTGGCCAAGGACACCAGCCGCAGGGAGGACCGGGCCATGGGTCGGACGGCTAGTGCCATGCAGGCTGAAGCCGGCAGGGGTGCGCCCAAGGCCGTTCCTCCGGGCAGCCCCAAGGAGCAGGCGCCTCAGGGTGACCCTGACCCAGAGAGCCCGGTGGCCCTCGTGCAAGACCTGCTGGAGCTGAATGGCAAGGGCCCTGCCCACCCCGGCCTGGCCACCGACGGCGCCTCGCCACTGCTGGGGATGGAGTGATGGCCCCTGCTGCCCCGGCACACAGACAGGCAGCAGGGCACAGTGCCCCAAATCGACGTTTCAGCAGGTTCCCTGGGGGCCCCTCCGCTGTTGGAGAGAGGCCAGCCGCAGAGGGCCCGCCCCCTCGGTGCCTGCGCAGGAGACCAGCACAGACAGTTCGAGTGCCTTAACTACTTACCGGTCCTTCAGTGTCATCCTGGATGTTGTATTGTCCCAGATGACTTTAAAACACAAAGCAAATATTGTGATGAATTATTTGGAGAGAACCTTCCATTTAAGCATCAACGTGACCTTCTGTGTTGCTGTGTGAGAGCTCAACTCAGCAAGTCTGTGATAGTAATGTCTGTTCTGTGAGCCAGAAGCAGAAGAAAAAACGTGCCCTGGGACACCCACAGCCAATAACTGGAAGAAAGTGATGTGAATTTCATGTAAATTACCAGGGGTAATGTGGATAAAATGCTCATTTCTAAAATAGACTTTTTTTTTGGTCTGCTATGTGGTGGTGGAGCTGTAACTTCGTCCTGGGTGTTGCAGAGTGTCGTTGATGGAGGTTCCCAGTTTGGCTCAGGCTCAAACCAGGACAGATTCTAGCATCCACCTCATACCTGTTCCCACTCTTTCAGCATTAGACAAGCTGTTTTCTGTTCAAGACACTCAAGACATTTGTTCTTAACTTACAGAGAAGAGTTACCCCAGCAACTTAATGTATGGAGAACACACACAGACGTCATGTATCTGGTTTCCCCCTTTCGGTATATATATAATTAATATTATTATTATTATTATTATTATTATTAGTTCATCAGTTTGCTGGTCTCTGCAGTCAGCAGAAACAAATGGGCAATATTTGTCCTGGAGACCTGGGTGCCTGGGTCACGCATAAGCATCTGCCCGTAGCTTTCCTTGCCACCCGAGGGTGGGAGCTCTTCTACTGTACTCAGACAAGCCTTTCTTCCGTGACTGCAGACTCCAGCAGGTTCTCCACGTGTGGCTGAGGAGCAGCTCAGAGGGGAGAGGAGGGCACAGCGCCCGGGGCTTCCGAGGAAGCCAGGCCGTGAGGAGACCTGCCACTCACTGGTCTTCTGCCAAACCCAGCCCAGCCTTCCCCGCGTGTGCTACTGTCATTTGCAAAGCGAGAAAATACTACTACTGGTAATAAAACTGCACATGCAAGATTGAAGACAAGACATAGATAGATTTATATTTACCTTCCTGCGATTTGGGATTGGTGCTTGAAAATAAACGTCGTTTCTAGTTTCTGAAATAACGAACCCCCGGGTGAAAAAAGGCAGGGTTTTTTTGGTTTTGTTTTTGTTTTTTGTTTTTTGTTTTTTTGTTTTGTTTTGTTTTTTAAGCATCCTATGCAGGCAACAGACTTCCCTCGCTGCAGGTGCCAGCAGTGAAAAGAAATATATCCTACTGTAGCTGAGATTCTTCAGCATCCGGCCTGCAGCTGGGACCCCCAAGACGCCGAGGCCTAGTGCTGCCGGGCTCTCTGTGCTGCTCCACCCCTCAGACCCTCCTGCCTCGCCCCCGGGGAACCCCCGAGTGCCCCTGCCTCCCTCCCCAGGGCCCTGAGTGCACCTCCTTCACACTCTTAAGTGTGCAGCAGAGGCACACGGACCCTTTTCTCCCACTTCCTCACCAGTTGCTGGTGGCCAAAATCCAACCACCCAGACTTCAAAGGAAGATACATAGTCTTGAATTAATGGGAAGTGATATCTTTGCATGTGAAAGGAAAGAAGTCGAGGTATATATAAAACTTTTAACTGTATTAGGGATGTATGAACCAGTCTCAGAACGAGGTGGTTATTTGCTCTAGGTGAATGCACATCAGAACCAAGGATCCCTGTGTCACTTCACACCCAGTGTGGTCTGCTCAGTTAAAACAGCCAGTCCATGCATCCCTTTGTTTTTTATGACGATTGTTGTTCTTTTTGTTGTTATTATTTGGGGTTTCTAGTTTTGTTTTGTTTTGTTTTGTTTTCCTTTGCAACTCTCCACGCTAAAACTCACAACATTGTGGAGAGAAGCCGTGACTTAACTCGATGCTGCAGTGAGATGCAGCAGGAACCGCCCCAGCCGTGCAGCGGGGGTTGCCGCCCGCAATAATCACTATTGATTGAAAGCTTTATTTAGCCTTCCTCTGTGCCCTCTTAGTCAATAAGGTCTTGCCACATTTTATTAGTGAGGCTGAGAAATGTATTGTTTGTTGTTCTGCCCCCTTCCCCTGTATTAAACTGTGAAATTTGTGATTTGTTTAAACTCTGGGTGAATCATAGCTTAGTTGCATGTCCAGCTAATTTGTTTCTATACATTTTGTTTGATTCTCTTTCTCCTCTCAGGGCTTTTACAAAAAATATATATATATGGATCTTCTGAAAAGTTTTTTGAGGTGCAAGTTTCTCTCTTGTTTTTCTCTTTGATTTGTGGACACAGTGCTGAGATTCAATCACTACATGAGACTTCTGGCTGTGAAAACGAAACAAAACACCCAGGCGGCTGTTTTCGCCAGCAGCCCCAGGGAAGCTACGTGACAGTCGGTTGCCAGTTTCAGAAAGATTCGTCCTACCCTCGACCCTCTGTTTGTCTTTCTTCTCCTCTCTTTTCTTCAAGAAGGAAGTTGATCCTAGCGATTTCAGCCCATGCATTAAACAGGAAACAATAATAAGTATGTAGAATTCATATTTTTCTAAAGGGAACTTAAAAACTGCTGCTACATATTATGTACAAAACTGGTTTATGCCACATGAACAGAATCACAAGTTTAGTTTTGGTACTTTTGTTCCTCTTTGTATTCAGTTGTATAGTACTTTCAAATTCAAAATGAGAAGAAAAGCTGTTCTGTATCAAACCATCTAAGCAATAAATGTTATATTTTTAAAATGGCAGATCGCTTGTCACACAGTTGTCCTGTGATTTGCTGTGGTCCCATCAGTTGGTCCTGCTGCCGTCAGCTGGGCACCTGTGGCTCCCACCAACACTCTGTCACCCGCTGGCCCCCCAGGCTCATCCGTAGTTGTGAGGCCACCTGGGGTGAGAGCCTGGTCTGGAAGCACCAGCACAGCGAGGCCTCTCCCAGGGCCAGCGGGTGGGCCCCGGGTGGGTTAGCACCAGCTAAAGCCAGGGATTCTGTCTTCTGGGCAGCAGCTGCTGAGAAGTGCGCTTTGCCTTTCCCTTCTTTTGCCAGTTACAAGGGATAGAGTTACCCCTGTGGGGGGAAAACCCCCGTAATTCAAGGGCGGGGCCTGTATGGGCTGTGATCCCAGGGCTGGGGACAGAGGAGATCCAGACACATGCATGTTTGCAGAAGGTCTGTCGTTAAAAGCGGCGAATGAGCATTAAAGTCCTGAATGCTGTAAGCCGAGCTCTCAAAGCACAGCTCCGGAGGAACCTGGGCTCTGGGGAAGCCAGTCCTGGATGGTGCTGGCTGTGCTCAGGTTCCGCGTGCCAGGCCTCAGCAAGACGAGACTTGCAGCACGCTCTGGTCCTGAAGGCCTCCTCTGCCGGGGCCCTGCTGCTGCCCCACACCCCACGCACCAGCCCCAGGAGGCTGGCTGGGCTGGGATGCCAGTGAGGGGTGCTGACTTGTGCTCTGAAACAACCGGAGCAACTCGGGAATGGTTATGACAGAAACAAGCAGCTCACCAGAGACACGCCTCCTGACCCCTCCCTTTGGGGGGCCAGGGCTGGTGGCCACCAGTGAGCACCGTTCGCAGGCCTCGAGTGGATGGGATCGTTTTCCTGATGGAATGTGGACTCACCCTGGGCAATGTGAGGGCGAAGGGAAGTGTGGAGGCGGGGAAGGCCCTCACCCGCCCAACGCCACAGCTTGGGAGACGTTGGGAGGAGGCACATGGGAGGTGAAAAGATGGAATTTATCAAGAGTTCTACCTGTGAGGAAGTGATCTGATGTGAGCACTGGGGTCCCTCTGGGCTGGTGCCTCTCACCTCTGGTTGTGAGCCAACTGCGGTAGCCAGGCCTGGGCTGCCCTACCCCCCAGCCGCCGGTCCCTGCCCCAGGTCCCTGCCCCACCCTCTTCCGAGGCCCCTCACTCGGGTGTCTGTCTCTGCACTGGCCGACACCGGACAGACTTGGAGAAAGCCCAGGTATCGGGTTACATCCAGTCCCCAGACAGTGGTCCTGAAAAAAGAAGGGAGTTAGGCAGGTGCAGAGGCATTTTGCACAGAATTTATTAACTCCAATAATGACTCAGCCTCATCATTAAGAATAGTGCATTTATTAAATTTTAAAAAATGGGTTTGGGCGTTCTCACCTGCTGTGCCTTCAGAGAGTCCCAGCCAAGCACAGGTAACCTCACAGGCAGGGCAGGGGCGGCCGCTGGAGGCCATGCTGCTCCGCCTCCTCCCTTCAACCCCGTGCTCCACATTGATGTGTGACCTTCCCGGCTAGAAGAGGAAAATGAAAGGAGCTTGTGTTTAAAAATCAGTTTCAGTTCTGTAGTTGTCAAACCTCACCAAGGCCTGTGACCTAAACTGAGCCTTGAGTTTGGTTCTGCTGTCTCTTGTTCCGGTCCAGGATCCAGTCGACCTTGACCTTGCCTATTCCACAGAGCGTTTGCTGGGCAGGCACTGTGAGCCAGGCACTGTCCCAGGCACAGAGAACACAGCAAGGAGCGAATATTTCTTTCCTATGAAAGTTGGTTTTTAACAGTGGAAGACAGTAGACAAACTAGACTAGGGATGTACAGAGATAGTGCCAAGTCCAAGGGCACTAGGACTGTGAGGGGCAGAGCCTGGAAGAGATGGGCAGGTGGACCAGAGAGGTCAAAGGACAAGCAGTGAGAAAATCACATGCCCGGCCCTGGCCAGTGGGGCTCAGTCGGTCAGAGGGTCATCCTGTAACCCCGAGATCAGATCGCCGGTCCTGTTCCCAGTCAGGGCACACGCCCGGGTTTCAAGCTTGATCCCCAGCCGGGCGCATGCAGGAGGCAGCCCATCAGGGGGTCCTCTCTCCCCCCACCACTCCCTCTTCCCTTCTCTCTTGAGTGAGAATAAAACAACCCTTTTAAAAAAGTCACCTACCCAGAGAAAAGGCCCCAGTGAACACGGTGGGCCCGGCGGGAAGTAGCAGGACTGGAGTTGGGTAAGGGGCAAAGGGGGGGGGGGCGGTGATGGGGGAGGGCGGGGCCTGCTGGCTGCGTGTTGACAGTGGGGACACGGGCAGATGCAGGGAGACAACCAAGAGGCAGGCAAGAGCTGGCAGTGGGTTGGAGCAGAGGGACGGGCCTGACGATGTTGAGAAGAGGTGAGTTGAGGGTACTTTTTCAAGGGGAGCCAAAAAGAGTGTTATGACAGATCAGAGATGTCTGCAGAGACGTCAAAGCTTTGAGACTCCCCAGAGCACGCAGGTTGGCTGTGACTTCTAGTGTTTGGAATTAATTCTAAAAGAAATGGCTCCCTTTGTGAAAAATAGCCTTGGTAGAGGATGTGCTGCCAAGGGCGAGGAGAGGAGAGCACTCCTTGGTCCTTCCCGTCCACCCACATGAGCACCTCGCTGTGGCTGCTCACACAAGCCTTCCGGTGGCGGGTCCCAAAGAAGCAGCAACCCCTCCCCCAGTGCAGTGTCTGGCCTGCTCGCCCGGCCCTGGCACCTGCTTCTCACCCGGTACTCCCACTGCCCTCTGGAGGTCACGATCCCGGCAGAGGCTGCAGGGTCTCTCCCCGAGAGTGTGCCCGAGGGACAAGGGGCAGCACCACAGGCCGGAGCACCAGGCAGCTTGTCCCCGATGGGACTGGTCCTGCAGCCCAGTGGCTGTGCCTGAGCAAGAAGAGCTTCGAGGGGCTTAGTGGACATTAACCCCAACGGCCCTCCCTCAATTTCTGGGACTGTCCCCAGGCAGAGAAAGGGTCAGGATAACAGATGCAGGAGTGTGTCCGTGACCGGGTGGGTGTGCTGAGCGCTCTCACACGTTTTCTCACTTGGCCCTTGCTGGGGGAGCCAAGGCCAATAAATGTGGGGCTGTGCTTGACCTTGGCTTGCTTGACTCCAAGGTCAGTGCTCCTGACTTCCCAAGGTGACCATCAGTCCCTGTGTGCCCTAAGGACTGAGGTCCAAGCAGACCCTTTTATCATTGCCCCCACCCCAGAAATGGCGTCAAGGAGTGAGTACTTACCTCTTGCCACTGGTCCCAGGTTAGAACAGCACGTGTGAATTTGTGTGTGATAAAATACATAACTTAGATTTTGCCATCTTACCCTTTTTTTCAGGTGTACAGTTCAGTGGCGTTAATACACCCACAGAACTTTTCACCTTATAAAACTAAAACTCCACCCTGTCTAAACACCGCCTCCTGTTCCCTCTCCCTGCCACCCCGCCCCGGTACCCACCACTGTGCTTTCTGCCTCTGCGGTCTGACTACTCTGGGAACCTCTTGGAAGCAGAGAGAACATTGTCCCATGTTTGAGAAATGTGGGGGCTCGGGCAGGGGACATGGCTGAGGGGAAGCACCCAGGGCGCAGGCGGAGGGGAGCCAGCCCTGCACTCAAACACCAGGTCGTCCTGCCTGAGCACACAGCCAGCCGCGTGCCCTGCATCGGGCAGAGTGGAGAAGTGGCCAAGAGCCGGTCTCAGGGCAAGCTGGCTGGCCAACAAATCCCAGCTCTTCCTCTAAGGCCTGATGAATGGCCTCAGTTTCCTCATCTCTGAGGAGGAGGTAACAACAGTACCTGCTTCACAGGGCTGTGGTGCCGACCAGGTGAGTTAACACACACAAGGGACTTGGACAGCACCTACCAAGTAGGTGTGATGGGCGTGTCGGGGTCTCCTGTAACGTGGGTTCCACGGACATGTCCTCACAAGAATGCTGCGTTGGTTGCCCAGAGGCAAGAGGGCGGAACTTCCATGGGGCACATTCGTTCCACAGACGGTGGGGGATGCCTGGGGGCGTGGCTGTGCAAGATGACCGGGCTCAGGCACTGCCCTGAGGACCACTTCCTCTGCCCCGGCTGCCTCCGAGCCCCTGCTTGCGTGATGCCCGGGGCGAGGGTATGGGAGACAGACAAGCAGGGATCCGCAGTCAGTCAGGAGTCCACAGAATGCACAGGTTTCTTCCCACAAACTGGCCCACCTAGCCATTGCCAGTCTGAGTAGCTGGAGAAGAAAAGGCCCAAGAGAGAATTCTAGGAACCTCCTGCCAGCCCCTCGGGCCACCTGCTTGGCTGCCCACCCAGGGCTGGGGAATGGTGGGGTCCCAACCTCACCAACCCGACAGAACCCTCCCTGCAAAGGAAAAGGGTCCCAGAGAGCGGCTGGCCTCCTTTGGCTCTGTAGTTCAGTCGGCTGCCTGTCCCAGCCAGCAGCCTCCTGGGGACCCAGGACTCCACTTTGGCCTGGTGTTTATCACAGCCGCCCACCCTGGGATTGTGTGAGGAAGGCACCTTGAGCTCTCATTCCTCCCTCACACCGGGCAGCGTCCTAGGAAGCCCCTTGTCTCGGCCCCCACTCAGTGCAGGCCTGGTCTGTGGGATGGCCCAGACCTGCCCTCACTTGGTAGCAGGGGATTCAAGCACACAGTGAATGTGTGAGAGGCTGGTGCAGGGCCCGAAGCCGGGTTCTGAGGGAGATGGCCCTGGCAGCTGCTGCAGAGACAGCTACAAAGTCTCCTCCAAAGACAGAAAGCAATTCAGGGGGAGGACTGCGAAGCCAGATGATGGGATTTGAGAGCGTGTGGGTTGGGGCCCTTCTGGTGGCCACTCCCCCGGCCCCTGCTGCAGCCACAGCCTGAACGCGCACGAGCCACCCGGGATCCTCCTCACAGCTTCTGCACCTCCACCCTACGCATGGACTCCAAAGGCTCCTTGAAGGGGCCAAGTAGCGAGAAGGACAGCCCGGCTGGCTGCCCCACATCCGGTGCCAAGTGGCCTAGGC